CAATCGAAAGCCTTGGAAAGGTCACAGAAAACACCTAAGGCATCTTGTGAATTCTCCCAGGCATTAAAAATATATTTCATAAGCTCAACACCAGCGTCAGACGTCGAGCGACCCCTTGTAAAACCAAATTGATTTTTATGAAGTAATTTATTTGTATTTAAAAAAATTAACAATTGATCCAAAATTATTTTTTCAAAAATTTTACTGAGAGTTGGTAGTACAGAAATAGGTCTATAATTAGCGGGGTCCAATGTACTACCAGATTTAAATAAAGGTATTACTTTACTATACTTCATTAAATCAGGAAACACACCAGAATCGATACATGTATTAAAAATAATAGCAAGATGAGGTGCAATTAAATCTATTATGGACGCAATCACTGTAACGGAAATCCCCCACAAATCTGCGGTTTTCTTTACATCAATGGTTTTGAAGTATTTTACAATATTATGCGGTAATACTTTTTCAAATCTAAATTCTTTTAAACAGGTATTAACATTCTGTTTAAGTAATGATTCGGCGACAGTTGGAGAAGCATTCAATGACTCTGTTGTCAAGATAGGAACATCAGTGAAATATTTCTCAAACACCGCTGCAACTTCTTGATTTGATTTAGTCAATTCATTATTAATTTTTAATTGATAGTTTGAATTACGAGGTTTCTCTTTACCGGTTTCGCTGTTAATTATACTCCACGTCATTTTAATTTTATTCTTAGCTGTCTTAATTTTGTTACTAATATGTAATGATTTGGCTGTGGAGCAAACTCTTTTAAACATTTTAGAATAATTTTTTACATATTCTTTAAAAGCATCGGAAAGATTATACGATCTTTCATGGTAAAGGTCATATAACCTTCGTCTGCTTTTATGAATTCCTACTGTCGCCCACTCATTAAATGCCTTGCGACTGTTTCTGGAGAATGTTTTAGAAGTGAATGTTTTATTAAATTCATTGTTTATAAAGGTAAATAATTCTCTATATAAATAGTCTGCATTGTTCTTATAAGAAAGGGATGGAAGGATTTTTAACATATTACTTCTAAATCTCTCCAGGCGTTTTGCATTAATAGGAACAAACACAATTTTCTCATTTACCTGTTTTTTGTGCATATAAGGTAATGAAACCAGTTGTCCACAGTGATCTGAACTAAGTTTTTGTATTATTGATTTGTTGATTGGTACAACACCTGTAAAAATATTATCAATACAAGTTGCACTACACCCTGCAATACGTGTAGCTTCAAAGAATAAATTATTAAGATTATAGGATTTGAACAAAGAACAGAATTTAATACTGATAGAAGAAGTTTCCAGGAGATTGATATTAAAGTCTCCACACACTACAAGAGATTTATTCTGTTTATTAAGCTTAACTAAAACTTCTTCCATAATTTTTTCAAAAGTATCATAACTTGAACATGGGGGTCTGTAAACACTGACAACAATAAGGTGCTCAAGCTCAACACATGCCATTTCTACAGTACGCTCAACAGAGAGGCTCACAATGTCTTTACGTTCTTTACATGATAAGGACTTATTAGCTAATATTAAGGAGCCACCACGTAATTTAGTATCTCTATTGAACGAACTGACCACCTGGTGATTACTGAAATTAAATATGGAGTTGTATTCTTTCAACCAATGTTCTGTAATACATAAAATATTTATACTGTTACTATTTAAAAACAAATCAATTTCTAATTCTTTGCCTAACATACCTTGTATATTTTGATGCACCAGGTTGATACAGTTTTTATTATTGTTATTTTGTAAAATTGCATAATTATGTATTGGTAAGTTGCATTCTAAGCTATTTAAATTATCTTTGCTAGAGATTACCTCTATTGTCTTATTATCTAATTTAAATTACTTGGAACTGGTTCCAAATCAAATATAAAATTATTTTGTTGCTCAAAAGAAGCAGGTGTCAAGGTAGCCAAATCATTGGCTGAGTTAAAATATAAATAATAAGATAGCGTATTTGCTACCAGTCTTAAACTATACTTTGATAGGTAATACCTATCTCTTGTCAAAAACTTCTTAGCTAAATTATTAATATCAATTAAATGAAATTTATCATTATTATTCTTACAATTAAATGTCAAATTTAAGTTATTGTTACATGTCAAGTTATGCATCATTAAATTTAAATTATGTCTTAGTTTATTTTCCTGCATATATTACATTTCATCACCAAAAAATTAGAGACATTCGACATCCAGCCCGGCTAGCATAGGCGGGGGACAAAAATTTTATCCCCCGATAATATCCACTGACAAGAGATAAATAATGATGATGATGATGACATTTCATCACCAAAAAATTAGAGACATTCGACATCCAGCCCGGCTAGCATAGGCGGGGGACAAAAATTTTATCCCCCGATTATATCCACTGACAAGAGATAAATAATGATGATGATGATGACATTTCATCACCAAAAAATTAGAGACATTCGACATCCAGCCCGGCTAGCATAGGCGGGGGACAAAAATTTTATCCCCCGATTATATCCACTGACAAGAGATAAATAATGATGATGATGATGACATTTCATCACCAAAAAATTAGAGACATTCGACATCCAGCCCGGCTAGCATAGGCGGGGGACAAAAATTTAATCCCCCGATTATATCCACTGACAAGAGATAAATAATGATGATGATGATAACATTTCATCACCAAAAAATTAGAGACATTCGACATCCAGCCCGGCTAGCATAGGCGGGGGACAAAAATTTTATCCCCCGATTATATCCACTGACAAGAGATAAAATTAATTATCTTGTTATGTCAAACGGGCAGAAGTATTTCCCCGTTTGAAATAACGAGTAGACATAATATATCCCCTGTCCGCAGCATAGAACCAAATGAAAGATAAAAAATTATGCTTTTTTGACATTTGAAAGGGACAATTCCTAGTTCATAGGACGTGGGTTTAAGTTTATATTCATACAAAAATCTATCTAAGTCATCTCCCATTTTATCTACTGTGGATATTATATCCACCGGTGTGCCCATGCTTGAAGGGTGGATAAAACTAAGCGAGAGATAAACATTTTCTCCTTTCCCCGAGGATAAAGTTACCTCCTGCCCATGCTAGCCTTGCTGCTGTATACCTGTATAAAAGTTGGTTATTCCGAAATATTTTGGAGGCCATTAGATCTTTCTGACTTTTCCCAACCTCCCTGTAGGCGATGAGACAACACTTTCGGGCGACATAATATGACTGATTTTCTTTTGCATCTGCTGATACCAATTTTAAGTGCATGTTTAAACCATGTTTACAGATGAAACTTCTGGTATATTTTAAAAACTGAGCCATCATTATATTTTATTGCTAAATTATTTAAACCCGGATAAGTGTTATGTATAAATGTTCTTATTCCAAATGCTCACTGGTGCTTATAAAAACCTGTAAAGAAATAAAAATAATATCTTGATTACCTCACATTGATAATCAAATTAGGTTAATTAACATACTTTATGTATTATTATGCAATATCATAATATTTATATTTAATTACATTCTATTTGAAATTAACTTATTTAAATCTGTCTTGAATTTCTCACAAATTTTATTAGACGTATTATTTTGGCTAATCTAATATATAAAAAAATAATTTTTGTTTGTTCTTATTTTATGCGCTGCCATACCGTTTAACAGATTGCGCTAATATTATTGCTTGCACTTGCACGAAGATTATAGGCATAGTATAATTAACTTACAGTTAGTGACGAGCATATCGTACCGACATATTTATTTGAAAGTCATAATATGTGATTCAATTTCAATTAAGGTACATATTATCATTCCTAAATTCTAATTAGAAAATATAACGCTTCCAAATTAAAAACGATATTTCGGCAATTTTTTTTCTGCGGGAACAATGCGCTGGGTACCAGTTAGTATATACAAATAAATAAAATTGAAGTTTCTGTTTGTAATGTCATCATAACAGCTTTTTACTAAATGCATATGAGAGTATATACGGTACATATAACAAAAACACGATTTTTAAAATTTGTGTCTGTCTGTCTGTCTGTTTGTTCCGGCTAATCTCCGAAATGGCTGGACGGATTTTGACGGAACTTTCACTGGCAGATAGCTAATATTATAAGGAGTATCTTAGGCTACTTTTATTTTAGAAACATTATTAGGGTTCCGCGCAAAAGAATTAAAATCTAATCGTAAAAAAATCCACGCGGGCGAAGTCGCGGGGCACAGCTAGTTATTTATAATTTTGTTACCACCTAATTTCCAATGTATTTTTTAAAGTTTATTCAATCTCATCTTTACAAATACGTGATTTAAACATTTTTAAGAATTGCAATTACAGTAATCAGCTTACTAACAATATATATGACACCAAGTGCCTCTATAGGATGCATTTTAAAATCAGTACAACATATTGAAGTACTTTACTTAAGAACCTTGAAAAAATAAGGGTGGATAATTTACAGTACACATGTACCAAAACTTCCTAAACTAAAATATGTATTGAATAAAACTAGCCAATCGTTACCAAAACACGTAGTTTTAAAATGTGCTTAAAATATTTAAATATAAAACACAAATTTATTTTCAAGTCAAGTTTAGAATATCCATTAAAGATAAACAATTAGAATGAAATACCATTAAACCTTACACATGTTTACTTTAAACTAATTATATTTATGCAGTGTGTTTACATTGCGACCACCACAAACAGGAAATGACATTTGACATCAAAAACGTTTACTGTCTTATCAATATTAACCAACATTTCCGTTTGTTACAGATATCGTCTGGAATTTGAATCAAGGATACACATTAGAACTTCTTCTAGCGACCTCTTTGAAACACATAACCTCAAATGTGACAGTGTCAATTTGACTCGGCAACTCCGTAAAAAATTGTGCAGTAAACAGTGAACTATTAATACTATGAGGATAAGATCTTTAGAGAGATAACGTTATTTATTTCTGTACTTTTATCGTATAATAACTGTGATAATGATGGCGTCGTGGAAATCGTGCTTGTGGACAGTGTTCGTGCTCTGCCTGTTGGGGAAGATATCTGGGCTGGACAATGGTCTGGCTCTGACGCCGCCGATGGGCTGGTTGGCGTGGGAGCGGTTTAGGTGTAACACTGACTGCAAGAATGACCCCGATAACTGTATAAGGTTGGTAAAAACTATTACTACTAGTTGATTAGAAATAAAAATAAATAATTAAAAATAAAATGAACATTCAAGTAACTAATTAAAAATAAGAACCAAATATAATTATTGATAATCAATGTTTGTTGGTTAAGTTAGATTGGTATGATGAATGTTTAAATAACAGCCGTAAGTGAGTATGCTTTTACGAAAATATTGATCATCATCATCCTCATTACTACAGCCCATCAAACATCCATTGCTGAATATAGACCTCCCGCCAATAAGCATTTCAATACATTATAACAACATATTCCAGACCTGATATTAACTTTTAATAACACTTTGACTCAATTACAATTTACGATAAATACAAGAAACCTTTATACGTGGTAGAGCCATGCTGTAGCTATATTAGTATTATACTTGTAGCACGACTCGACCGGGGAGGGACCACGCTCTCACAGAATAGCAGCGTAAAATAGCAGCTTAACACTGCTGTGTTTCGTGTGGTGAATGTAGAGAACCGGAGACCCTATTTACTGGAAACGAGTCCATCTTAGTGCTAACAGCTGAGAACGCATCTGCATTTTGGTTCTTTATTGAGGATAGATGTAAATGTCAATGGGTCACAGCAATCACTTACCATCAGGTGGACTATGTGCTCGTTTGTAACCGTATCCTATAAAAAAAAACCTTTTAACGCTGTAGTTGAGTTGAAGTTCAAGATATATATATATATACTTTAGAGATTACATAATACTGATACAAAGGAAAAAAGCTAAATTTAATATGCACATAATATCCTCCTTAATTAACTTTATCCGCTTTTCATAAATTACTGGGAGATTGCTAGGCTGAAAGGTTTCTCCTTATTAGCAGTGGACAGTAGCCTTACTAGTAATATCCCAATATCTAGTTTTAATACTAGGCAAGTAATATCTTAATAAATGTAAATATTCTACTTACTTACTAAATAAGTAGCATATAAGGAGTTTGAAAGGCGGATGAGACACGCTCAGCAGTTCCGCACTCCTTTTCCGTCTGCTTGTACCGTCGGTACTCGGTACCACCCGTTTACCCATTTCTTCCGCCGAACAGCAACGCCTGCACTGTGGTGTTATAATAACAGGCAGTGTGGCATTCCATCTTATTATTTACATGTGTTAACGTATCTGTAGCCTTTTTAATTTGAAGTTGTTGTCATGCGTCTATGTACTCCTGTAGCCACTTACCATCAGGTACCCTGTAAGTTCGTTCGTCGTTTAAATTCTATTTAAAAGAACACAGTAACCCCTCTATTCCATATTATCATCTACATCTGTCATTATTTTCGTGATAATGACATGGTGCAATTCTACTACATGTAGAATTTCAGCATGACCTTATCACGAATGGGTCATCTGGATCATTCTCTCAGAGAATATCAGCAACAAAATGTACTGTGTTTTGTATTGTTAGTATCGATAACCAAAGACCCTTTCACTGGTAACAGAACATTACGTAGACTTCAAGGGTTCAGTCACAATGCAACTGCATTTAGATTCTCAATCGAGGATAGATGAAAGTGTATATGTAAAACAGCATCCAATTGCCTATAATACATGTAACGATGTGCGTAAATCAAATAACCCCCGGGAATGAGATAATCGTTGCCAATCTTTTCTCAAATAATTTTTATAATTATCTTATCTATAAATATAAAAATCAATTGCGGTCCGTTAGACGCACAAAAACTAAAAATCAGCCAGGGCCCCGGCTGCTCTAAACTATTCACTATTGGACCCGGTAGGTGTCGCTGTTGCCAAGATCCAAAAATCACCCGTTGGGAGAATCGCTAGTTAATTGCATGCCTTAAGCGCAATGTTCTACTAGCGCCTAAAAATCAAGATGCCAATGTTTTTTCGCACGAAATCGTCTCTAACAATCATATTGAACATATAAATGATATAAAAAGCACATTGTCTGAAAGATAAATGATTGGTGAACTTATTTTAAAAATGATCTTATTTTAAAATATATAATAAACATATTATACAACTTTTTTATAGGATAAGGGTGACAAACGAGCACACAGTCCACCTGATGTTAAGTGGTTGTTGCGGCCCATAGACATCTGCATCTATCCTCGATTACGAATCAAAATGCAAATGCGTTGTCACACACCACTAAGATGGAATGCCTCTTTTCCAGTAAAAAGATCTGAGCAGTAGTTTTTGAGTTATCCTCAATAATTTATATTAAAGTCGGTTGTACAAACATTTTTTATTTTATCACTTGTCTCTATTCAGTGACCGTCTATTCCGCACGATGACGGACATCCTGGTCTCCGAGGGCTACGCGGCTGTGGGCTACGAGTATATCAACGTGGACGACTGCTGGCCAGAGAGGGAGCGCGACCCTCGCGGACGACTGGTGCCTGACAGAGAGCGGTTCCCTTACGGCATGAAAAGCCTTTCCGATTATGTGAGTATTGTTTTTTGAAATTCATTGTATTTGTCCTTCATTCAAGGATGTTTAACTAGAATAGTATTAGACTTTAGAATTATAACGCATCAGACAAAACTTTTAGTTCTAGTCAAATAAAGTTACGTTAAAACACGAAGATGGGATCTATTAGTAATTATGTAAAACAAAAATTTTAAATTTATAATCTTATATTTAATAATATATAAATGAAAAGTTATCCATTTTAAATTAAAAATACAACATATTTGACGGCAATTATAATATATTTCTCAGCAATAAACCTCCTTGGAAATCTTACAAGGCGACGCTAATTATAATTTTAATATTTTATAGATCTAGATATAATCGTCTGAACTGTGGGAATGTTTAATACATTTTCCTGCTTATTGGGCTGTCAAAACTATTGAAATTAAGGACATTTACTTAAAAAAAAAAGATCCTGGTTGTGAGAATCCCAACCTATATTTCATACGCAGTGCAGCACAGTATAAAAATCTTATTAATTATATTGTGACTGCTTGTCAGGCCAAAACAATTATGTTTTCATATGATCATACTTTCAATTGATATGTTTCTAAGATTTTTAACACAATTTATCACGTGTATCATTGACCTGTACGTGTATGTGATGGAATTTGACGGCTCCGTGGCGCAGTGGCTTAGCAATCACTTGTTGCGCTGGGGGCCACGGGTTCGAATCCCGCACGGAACAAGTATTTGTATGGCCTACAAATAATTGTTCCGGGTCTGGATGTTTGTCCTTGTGCAATTTATGTTTGTAAACTGTTTCCACGACACAGAAGAAAATACTAGTGTGGGGGTAACGTTTTTAACGTTGATATACCAGACCCGGAACAATTATTTGTAGGCCATACAAATACTTGTTCCGTGCGGGTTCGAACCCACGGCCCACAGCGCAACAACTGATTGCTAAGCCACTGCGCCACGGAGCCGTAAAGTTCTCACCCATACTTTAGGATATGATCTAAATAATCTGAAATTTTGCAGACATAGTAAAAACCGATGAAAATACAGTAATTTTATGACTTATGACCTAGTATTCTCACTAGGATTATCACAGTTCATGATCAATGCGTGTTATTAAAGTTTTCTCTGCCGACTTCCAAAAAGGAGACGGTACTAAAGTCGACTGTATGTTTTCTTTATGTGTGTTATCTCATAACTTTTTACTGGGTGAACCGATTTCGATAATTCTTTATTTGAAAGCTGGTACTTCTCGTGTAGTCCTATATGTATTTGATCAAGGTCAGACCATTAGTTTTTAAGTTATTCTTAATAACTTATATTGAAGTCGGCTGTACAAAATTTTTAATTTTAAATTCTAATAAATGGCAACCCTATATTCAAGAGTGTCTGTCTGAATTATGCAAAGGAATGAATTATTTTTGAAATACCAATGTAAACAACCGATGAATCCTCTATTTTATGTTTTAGCTGATTCAAGGATAATTTGTATCAGAACTGGTATTCGTCTGGTTATTTTGTGCTAAATCGGCATTAACACAAGTAATTTATATTTTTATATAATCATGCCGACATCAACACGTTTTACTATGTTCATCTTTGTGTTAGTCCATACGTCAAAACATAATTTTTCTGCATATGTAATAGGTTACAGGTAATGCCCGAAGAACTAATAAATATTTTGGGGAAGGTTAGAAGTTAGAAGGTTAATAGGTTGTGGGAAACATTTGTATTTTCGACAAATTTAACAGAAGTCATGTTTATTTTCATTTTAATTCGTACCTCATACAAAATGCACCGAATGAAAACCTAGGTTTCCTAGTTCTTTGTAACATTTACACTAATATATAATACAACAAAATTTGCATGTTATTAGTTATTACCATCCAGCAAATGTTTCACTACTGGTTAGATCTTTCAGAACAGTCATGTTTTTGTATGTCAGATTAAATAAATCTATTATTAAAGCAAATTATAATTGACGGCTCCGTGGCGCAGTGACTTAGCAATGAATTGTTGCGCTGGGGGCCGCGGGTTCAGATCCCGCACGGAACAAGTATTTGTATGGCCTACAAATAATTATTCCGGGTCTGAATGTTTGTCCTTGTGCAATTTGTGTTTGTAAACTGTCTCCACGATACAGGAGAAAATCCTAGAGTGGAGGTAACGTTTTTATTAGAAAAATAAAACTTTAGATCGTGTCTTTGCTTAGATTAAAAGTATTTTTGATTATGGTAGTGAGAGCCACTGCAGCTAAATACAGCAATATCTTCAACGTATAACTCATGTCACTGGCGTAAGTAGAAATTTATGATGCTTTAATTCTTCTAACGCATAGCTAACTCAAAAGTATTTTTGTCAAATATTTCTTTTTTAACCTACGTCAAAAAAAGGAGGAGGTTTTAATTTGTCGGAATATTTTTTATGTATGTTCACCGATTACTCGAAGACGCCTGAACCGATTTGGAAAATTCTTTTTTTTTTGTTTCAAAGGATATATTCACCAGGTGGTTCCAATTAAATTTTATCTAAATTGGTAAAGCGGTTTTCTGCCGACTTCAAAAAGGAGACTGTACTCAATTCGACTGTATGTTTTTTTATGTGTGTTACCTATTTTACTGGGTGAACCGATTTCGATGACTCTTTTTTTGTTTGAAAGGTGGTACTTCACATGTGGTCCCATATGAATTTTATCATGGTCAGACCAATAGTTTTTGAGTTATGCTTAATAATTATATTGAAGTCGGCTGTAAAAAAAAATTAATTTTAAATTGTTAAAACATCAACAATAAATTATTTATATTGAAGTCGGTTGTACAAAAAATTAAATTTTACCACTTGTTTCTATTTGCAAAAAACGAATAAATACTGTTGAAGCAAAAAATATTGGATCGCACGCGTGTACATACCATATAACTACGAGTATATTGTACGTGCACGGTTGCACTCTTAACTACTGCACGATACAAACGAATAATGTTTGTTAGAAAATTTTAAAATAAGTACCAGCTTCTTTAAGTATTGAATAAAACAACTTTTACAGATTTTATTTCATTTGTTTTTGGGTGGAATGGGGAGTTCCCCCTTCCCCGTGAAAAGTTTCCCCCCGGGTGCTGAAACGCCAGGAGTTTAAAATAAGTAAAATTAAGCGCGATGGAACCGTAAAAGTTTGTTTGTTCAAAATGTAGTGTTCGCGTAAATATGAGTACATATGAAATCATGAACAAAGTATGAACTAAGAGGAAATGGCTCGTTACCAGTGAAAAATGTCTCCGGTTCTCGTCAATCACCATATAAATCACAGCAGAGCATTGTACTACTATTTCACGCTGGTATTCTGTCCGGAAATGGTTCTTCTTCGGTCGAGCCAAAACATTCCTGCTGCCGCCAATATAAAGTAGGGCGTGACTCTACCATGCACAACTGAACACAATTGAAAAAGTATCTAATATAGTTATCAAATTTTGGTGTCAATTTCTTAAATATAAATATATCAATTAAACAGAGAAAGCGTTTTCGAAGGAATACCAAACAAAATTAAAATCATGAAAATTACCGAGTTTTCGGGAGTGCCATTCCATTATAACGCTTGGTAGATGATGGATATTTTTAATTTTATTATTAAAATCTAAATTATTAAGTCTAATCGGAATACTAAGCTATGGAGGTGACTACACATGGTGGAAGGTGCTAAAATATAGCTATTTGAGATCGCAGTTATTTTTGTTTATTTATATATTATTCATTGTAACACCTTATAATAATGGGCAGACTAAATCCTTGTCGGCATTTTCTGCCACTCAACCCGTAACGTGGTGTGCTATTGTGGCACGTGTAAGCTTGCTATTTATATATATGTAATTTAACTTTATAATTATACGAGGACCATAGAACTCTGTCATGACTTGAAAAAAGAAATTGAAAGTTTTCTTTTTTAATATAAAGGAGAAGCTGGATTGTTTAATATAGAAAAAAGAAGCAGAATTCTAGAATTGCGCCTTTGTTTGATTGTGAACCATTTAAGCCGATTACGATAAAGAGAAACATGATCATAGTTTCGAAACCCGTACAATATGTATCTAATGCTTATTAAGGAGACGCTCTCGCTTGTTGAGAAGATATTGATCCAAATCAAAATAAATATCTGCACATTCATTAATAGGTAAAACAAGTGTCTGCACAAGCATGATCTTAGAAAATTCTTTCGACGGTAGAGAGACCGTAAGATGGTAAAAACTGCGGCTGATTTCAGTAACATGTGTATCCCATTTCAATGTACTGTCCATGTACGTACAGGTCTAGATTTTTCACGAAGTTCGAGAAGGGTATCAAGATGTAATTGTAATAAACCGAAGCCGGATTTGATAGACTTAACTTAGACTGTATTCTTGAAATACCCACAAGTATATATGTAGCTTGACACTTTTTTGGATTGTCAGAGACATCAAAGTGCCTCGATTATTCACTGACAGCTTTTAAGTTCTTATTTAAATTCCAATAGTATTACGTAGTTCATCGATAGAAGCCTGCACATACATTTGAAGATCCATACTATGGTACGAGCAGTTGAAATTAAATGTGATGAAGTTTATAAAAACTGGGCAAATTATTGGAGATAGTATATTAAGTATATCGCTCTGCAGGACGCAAGTTTGAAGATCAGTCCACATAGAGCACACTTGCTCTATATGAACTGACTGGGCAACAGAACCAAGACGACCCGCGAAAATAAGTAGTAACCCATTACAAGGCTGGAAGGTGCAAATTTTAAATGGGGAAGAATAGCTAGTAGGATGTCGTGGTCAAACGTGTTAAAAGCAATAGAAAAGTCAACAAACACCAATAATTGGCCTCTAAAAAGCTTGGCGTGCTCAGCAGAGCGGGACAGTATTTCATGCCGGCACACCGCCTGCAACTTTAAAGGCGCAGGTTCGGCCTCACATGGAATACTGTTCCCATCTCTGGGCAGGGGCTTCCCAGTGCCAGCTCCTTCCACTTGACCGCATCCAACG